CTCACTGCTGAAAAGGACAAATTGTCCCCACCGAGGGAACGGCAGACTGAGGCTGGGCAGTGAAGAGCTGGCACCAGGGGACCACCTTTTCCCACTCTGTTAATTATCCAGGCCCTCTGGTGTAAACCTCTGCCCTGCCGCCTACCTGCTGGGTCGTGAGTGATGTGCACAGGGAACAGATGGCCTCGGTGTCCTCCGAGGTTTTCTTTTTCAGCTGCAGAAGCTGTGCTGCCTGAATCAAGGGCACCAAAGTTTGTGCTGCTCCACTCTGCTGCAGGTTCTTCCCATGCAGACACTGAAAAAAGGGGAAAAACAAGCTAAAAAAGCCTGTATCCACCTACTTATTAATCACTAGAGGGAAAAATGGATTCCTCTGTGGGCTGTAACAAACGTGTCAGTCTCAGTGATGCAAGTGCTGGGTGCTGCGCGGTCTGAGAGCAGGGCAGATCCATGAACTGCTGATTTGTTCTGAGAATATAAACCAGTTCAAAAGAACACAAATATCGTGGAATCTTAGCATATTATGGGTTGGAGGAGATCTTAAAGGCCATGCAGGTCCAACTCCCCTGCCACGAGCAGAGACGCCTTCCCCCAGACCAGGTTGCTCCAAGCCCCGTCCCACCTGACCTTGAACACTTCTAGGAATGGGGCACTCCTCATATTCAGGGATTTGGCCAAGGAGGTAACTCTTTTATACTTGCAACACAAGGTCTTTATAGTCTTTCTCCTCTTCCCAGTTTTCTCCTCTGCACATTTCCACCCATGAAGAAGTTAGCTGTGGAGGCACAGAGAAGAGATGAATTTAACCGATGGAAAGAAAGATATGAAAAATATTAAAAGGACTCTTTATTTTTCGCTATGACCATGGACTTCGCTTATTTAACATGTTTAATATTTCTTGTAGAGGTTATAATGAAATTATATTAGTATGAGGGGAATAAAGCCCTCATGAAATACAGCTTTCTGATTGGTTGAAAATCCCTTAGCTATGATAGGTCAGATTATGCCGCAGTGTAGGCGGGCATAGCTGAGGTGAATTGTTATCTTATTGGCTGATAGTTATGACGCGTGCATTGTACGGTTCCTATTGGTTGTACCCCATGTCAATCCTGTAACTCCTCCCATGTTCTGGTCCTTTCTCCTCCCAACCCTATATAAACCCCTGTCCTTCCCTCACTCGGGGATGACACTTTTAGGCGCCACACTGGTGACACCTCCTCGTGTCGCAGCCTCTGGGGTGATAACATTCCTACCTCTGAGAATATCGGCTGCCGGCTAATAAAACATCCCAGTGAGCACTTCAACCCACGTGTCGTCCGTCTCTCTCTCCCCCAACGGGCTGCGGCAGTTAGCCATGAGCCTGGTGTGGAGGGGAACCCACCAGCACCACCTCACCTCTCTCACTACAGAGAGGTACTCTCACTACTTTCCTCTCTCCCCAACGGAGAGGAAAGAGATATCTTCAGTCAAGGTGCAAAGAAACCCCTCAGCCCTGTTGGTTTCTATCACAGGGGTAAAGAAAAACTCTCCCAGGTTGTGTTAGCACTGTGCAAAGGTCTGGAAAAACAGCCAGAGCAGATAATCTCAGCCAGGAAACACCCTCCTAGAGGCTGTGAACTCACCGATCACGGGATGCAGGATGCCCTGTGCTATGCCAATGAGCCGCTGGTAGATCTGGATGGAGAGGTGGCTCAGCAACTGGCGGTACTCGATCAGGTCAAAGTTCTTCAGGCAGTGCTCGTTCTGCCTTCGACTATAAAGTTACTTTGTAATGTCAAAACAGAAAAGTTTCCAAAAGATAGAAGTCAATGTTGATAGAGGTTATTTTTTTACATTTCTATTTTT